CTTATAAACTGAGTAGGATGTCATATGGTATGGAATATTCCTTTGGTCAGTTTGGGTCACCTGTCCTGTCTGTGTCTCCTCCCAACTTCTTGTGCATCCCCAGCCATCCCGCTGGCAGGGCAGTGTGAGAAGCAGAAAAGACCTTGGCCCTGCGTAAACACTGCTCAACAATAAGTCCATAGAACAAAAACATCTCTATATTATCAATGCTGTCTCCAGCACAAATCCAAAATGTATCCCCACGCTAGCTACTATGAAGAAAATCAATCCTCTCAGCTGAAACCAGGACACCCAAGTACACTTAAAACAAGCAGCAATGCATCTTCAGGCCTGCTGCTCTGCCCCCAAGGAACTAGCGCACTGGCTGTAAGCTATATTAAAAGTTCTGTTAAGAAATGTGAGTGACTTCTGCCCTGACTACATCATTCCTTTTTATATGTTGGAATAAAAATCCCCAATTGCAGCTCTTGTGCTATTTAAAGAGCTTGATGGCTGTGCTTAATAGAGAAAAGAGTGCTGGGCACTGCCCTACTTAGTGATGTTTGAGATCAGACCAGGTATTGGACAGAGCTGATCATCTTCATGGCATACAGGCAATGTGACTTCTGCTGATTTATTTACTTATAACTGACTATTGTGATGAGTAAGGAACAGCTATTCTGAAGGAGACATTTGCTGTTTCTTTTGATTATTTGATTGTAACCAGATGGACAAGGTTTAAAGAGGCCCTCAGTAAAGCAGACCCTTCCAGCTAATTATGGCACATGCTAACATAAATGAGAATTATTTCGGTGTCTGTTCTTTCCAGGAATCTCTAGGCTGCCTGAAATAGTGCAGAAATAAGTAAGATAAATTAATACAAGGACAATTTGCTGGCTTGAGTCAATACTCTAAGAAATTTTTGGGTTTCATCAGTGTTTTTGAGGGGGTTATAGAGAAGATAAGGAAGCACACTACTGAAAATGCTGCATAGAATAGTTTAATCTGAAAGTTTTTTACTTTTTGTCAGCTACAGGATCTCTGAGCAATCCAGCTAGCAATTAGTTGTGTAATACCTTGGGTCAAATTCTAAACTGGATGCAGAGAAGGGGTGCTTTTGAAGACAGGATTTGAATTGCTTTATTTTGGAGTTGAAGAAATGGATTAGCAGCCCATCTAGGGTTGTGTACATGACCATGGACACATGAATGGCTGCAACTTAGAACGTCTTTGCACATAGCTGATGGGAGATTTCCTC